TACTCCCAGACCTTTTTTATATATAAATTTTGAGACAAGGTCTCACAAAGTCATTAATTTATTTACCCAGGCTGGGATTGAACTTGAGATCCTCCCGCCTTGGCCTCTTAGTGCTGGAATTGTATGCACCACCTCACCCAGCTTCTTAAAATATACAACCAGAGTTCACATGTGGTAGATTATTATCATTTTCATACAACTGTCACTAGGCATTCTCATTGACTGTGCCTGATTGTGGTCATGGCTGTGTTCTTTTATCTTCATGCCTACAACCACAAATAACCCTCATGTACCTATATGCATCCCTGAATTCCTAATCTGGGGTTCCTTCTCCTGCAGAAAGGGTTTATGCTTTTGATGGGTAAGGAGAATTATATTTGAAGTCAAGGATGTTGACTCCCAATAGTTTTAGACCAATGATTTGTGGACAAGTTACCTCCATGTCTCAGTAACTTCACCAGGAAATGGAGGAAATAACATTTGAGATTGGTCCTCTGGAATCATTTTATGAGTTAACTAGTTGCAGAAACACAGCAACAATTTAAAATATTAAAATTTCCACAAAAGGGCATGGTCTATCTTTCTTAGATGAAGTTCCATTTAATTAAGCCCACAAGCATTAAGTATTTAAACTGAAATCAATTCAGGATAAAATACAAAAGAGAAATAACATTTTAAATAGAAAATTTCTGGCTGTACCACCCCCACCAGCACAGAGGAGATGAGCCACTCCCAGCCCACAAGAGGAGGCTTCCAGGCCACCTTACCACCCCCACCAGCACAGAGGAGGTGAGCCGTATGGACACCAGTAGCACAACCCCCGCCATCAAAATGAGAAGACATGTAAACAAGTCTCAAAACTAGGCTTCCAGATAACCTACAGCAACCTCAAAGGGAAACAAGATGGCACACTCTGATACTCAACCACCTGGACTCCCTGAACAGGCAACAAAAGAGGATCTGGAAAAAATGAACTCAGAAAACAGCAGAAATTGTGCTCATAGTGCAAGACATGATTAATAAATCTAGAGAGGAGTGGAGGAACATGATGGAATCTCAACATACAAAACAAATGGAATCCATAAAACAGATGCAAATAGATTTCCAGGAGATGAAAAACTCCAATGAAATTCTACACAGCAGAATGAGCCAATGTGAGGACAGAATTTCAGATACAGAAGATACAATTGCAATTAGAAAAAAAAAGAAAGATTGCTTTAAAATTGTAAGGGACCTTGAGAAATCATTCCACCAGCTGCTAGATGATGCAAAGAAGAATAACATAAGACTGACTGGAGTCAATGAAGAAAGAGGAGAGAGTGCAGATGACATAAAAAAACTGTTCACAGAAGTGATGGCAGAAAATCCCAAGCAGGGGAAA